TGAGCAATCCAGCCAAGGTTGAGTCTAACAACGCAAGGGGTTTCTGCCAGGGATCTCTTCCAAAAGTATTCAACAACTGGTTTAGTACTACACAGAAATCACAGAGCATGGGGTCCCCATTCATACACTTACATGAATCTACTCTTAATTGCTCTGATTCAGATCAACTGCATTCTTCTTTCAGAGACACAGCTGAGAGAAGGGATTTGTCAAGCAGAGTTTCTTTGACATTTCATTGCAGCAGATTAATACTACTGAAGTGTTGCATTGCTCAAGCTTTGCTATACAGTAGTTAAGACCAAATTTAAGATTTGGATCACAAAAAACTGAAGAAGTTTCAAGTGAAATTTCTGTAGGAAATAGTTTGTCCTGCTCTGCTGCCGTAGATAATCGCCAGATTTTTCTTCTAATGTCTTAGTCTTTGATTCTGTTCTTCTATTCTGTCATTTTGTACGTGTTATCTCCCATGTTAATAAAGTCCATCTGACCCCCTGTTTCCTAATCAACTACTGAAAATCTCTAACAACTGTACAAACTGCAGCAGTAGCTGAGGCTCCAGACCTGAAACTATAAATGTGAGGGAAAGAAGTGAAGCTGTATATTTGCACCCTCTGTGTTATCAGTAAATTACTTTCTTAGAACCGGGCCTGTGGATAAAATACAGAGGGTAGGTTCTTTTTTCCTGTTTATTTTTGCTGGTGTTCAACTGAGGAAGGTTTGCTGAAATCAAATAAAAGCCACAAACAAAAGCAGCAAAGAAACCCTGGTCCCTTAGCTCTTGTTGATGGCCATAAGACCACTGGCACCCACAAAAACTGCGTTCTCCAGTAGCTTTACAGTAACATTCAACCTTCTGCAGCTTTCCATGAATTAAAGAGTTTCTTATGGCACGGGTTTACATTGAAAGGTAAATTCTATTCTAACACGGCAGTATCACAGTTTACCATTATGCTTGAAAGACTTAACAAATTCCTACATTTCAAGGGAAGAATTATGAGACTGGAAACAATTTTCTAGCCTGCACAGTTTCAGACTTTCAGGGAATTCCTTGCACATTCCACACTTGGAGTACAATCTTCTCAACTCCACTCAGTGGGAGAAACCTGCAAGGTTTCTCTGGATCTCCTCTGCAAGTCTGTACATCACATCACACTGGAATGAGAGAGATGTAGGAAGGTGGACTCTGGCTCATCTCCCTCTTTCCAGAAGTCACTGATTCATGTCAGCTCCTCAGCTACAGCATTATTCCCTTTTGCCTCCTCAACTTAGTTTGAATGATGTTTAGTCTCACCAAAGAACTTCCTTGGCAGTCTCAGAAGTCTTTATCTATTTAAGACTCTTCAGTGCAATTCCTGTAAGGAGCTGAATTGTTGGGCACCTGTGTACACATTACAGAGTATTTTTCTGCTCGCAGGACTACAAGTGGCAGATTCTCCAGATTCTACTGCAGATTGATTCGCCCACATCCACATTTACCATTACCAATTTAGCAGTGGAAACTGCACCAGGGAGTCACACAAACCCTTACCTGAGGCAGATATGTAAGTCATTGCACTCTATACCACTCCATTAGGCAAATGACAAGTAACAGAATCTCTGGTAGAGAGACAAAAAAGTGGACAAAATAATCCCAGCATCTAATGACTTGTTACACATTTACCTTTCAAAAAATTACAGTTCAAAATGTTGAGGAGATTACTTTAGACAAATTGTATTTTAAGAAGGTATGTGAAAGGGAAGAGAGTAGAGATGTGACTACACAACAGGAAAGGCTCTCTGTTACTTATATACACTTGCACACATTTCAAGATGGGGATTTTGTCACAGATGAGGAGGGATGAGAAAAGAAATTAACAGGGAAATGTTTTTATGAAAACACAGAACTTCCATTTTGGATCAGCGGGTGAAATAATTACAGTTTGGTCAAGGACATTAGGAATAGGACAGAAAAGCAGCACAGGAGTCTGCCACGCAAGTTCTTCAAGAAGACAACAGAAAGGAAAAAAATCACAGGTCCTCAGAATTTGGTATACATAAACACACTTTTGATGCTTTTCTTACCTATACAGTCCTTGTAAGAGTTAACTCAGAGACTAAAAGATCCAAGTCTTCTCTTATTGATTTTCTCACATGTGATAATATTAAAATATTTAACAATTGCAACATGTCACTGCAATTACACACCATTATCAGGAGCAGAAAACGTCCATACAAAGGAAGGAAACACTGACATTTCAGATTTTCCATCTATATCCAGTAGGTTTATTAAGGTAATTTTGAATAAAAGAGTATTAAAATAACAGAGAAGAATCAACATCATAAACTATGTTTCCAGCCTAAGTGTGTGAGGGGGGAGACACTAAAGAGTCAATTTATGAGAGCAGAGCTGAGAAGAAAACTTAGGATTTACCAACATAAACCAAATTACAAGCCTTACAGAACTAGTTTCCTGGAAATTCATGGATCAAATGCAACAGTACATTTTAATTTATGAATCTGAAGACTTCACATCATTGTGATAAATGGATGACAGTAATTTTTAAACCTAATGTCAGCGGGTTGTAAAGATTAATACCCACATTCTTCCTTGCATAAATTAACTATCCAAAACCAATAGGCTGAGACTGATTCTCTGTTCTTACGAGGTGTAACAAATCTATGAACAGCAGTATCATCATTTATAATGTTTCATAACTGCGATGACATTTTCTATACAAGTTATTAACTCTTGCTCTCCCTTAAGAGGAGCAGACCTCCATTTAAGCTTTTTGCAATCAGACCATTTTTTCCACTTGTAAAGACCTGATTTCATTCTTTTTTTTCTTCTGTACTTCTCATTCTCCTTTGAACACAGTATCAAATAAGAATAAACAGCAAGAATAGAACACAAAGTAAAACAAAAACTCTAATTTCATGAGGATAGCTGAATCTGAAAAGGAAAGACTAATACACTTTAAAAAGTAAGAACAGCATTATTACCATATACATTTGATTGTTATCAAAAAGGGGGGGAACCAAAAATCGACAAATCAACAAGAATACAAAAAACCCTAACCTTCAAAATGCTCACAATTTACCTCTTTTTCATCTGCTACAGAAATTCTCCTTCCCCCAGTGTTACACCAGAGAAGTACATCTATCACAATGGGGCAGAACTGTCCATAGAAACATCCTGTTCAGCAACCACACAAGTGGTTTGGAAAACGGCACACGGAGATCTTCTCATGGGGAGCTCAGTTTTAAGGGCAGAAACATAAAAGTCTGGATTCCAGAAACACAGGGACTAATCCACTTGCTACTTAGCTCAGTGCAACATTTTTGTGGTGACATTAAAGGGAGTTACACTACCTTAGAAATGCCCACAGTAGAAACTCAGCCAAAAGTGACCAATCATAACTCATCTTAATAACACCATTTTATAGAACTACTTGTTCTATATTATATACATATATTATATCTATACTAGAATTACTAGGGAAGGCATGTTTACTGTATTTACAAAAAAAGTGAAATATAATTTTGAATACAATTTATGCACTCCAGGATTAACCACTTCCCTCCCCAATCTGAAAGATGCAAAGTCAGTCAGGGCTGCAAACTCAGTCATCCAACTCAAATGTGAAGAGCTGTCATGCCCAAGAAAGCTCAGTATCCATCTTGAAAGAAGTATGTTATTTTAAAAATACCTTTCTCCCATGTTGCCATGTGGCATAGAATACTATATTCTGCAGAAAAAAACAGATCCATTATGAACCACTTCTGATATTCCTTTCATCTCAAACGGGACACAAAACACTCAGTACCCATTATCTTTCCTAATCACTAAGTAATTTCTGGAAAAGGGAGATACCATCTGCTATTACACTTAACTTTCCTGTTTAGATACTTTAACCTTTCTAGTTAGACAACTCTTCTATCTATTCAGAGAATATATGAATGTTTTGCTACCTCAGAACACAGCAACGGTGCTACTACCCTGAGGAGTAGACCAAAAGTGGCTTTCACTTACAATTTCTCATTACTTCTTTGTACATGAAGGTAATAAATTTTTTAAAAAAAAAAGTCTTCCCAAAGCAAGAAGGTGACACTGCCATAGGGAAACATCTACTCAGTAGATCCCCTAAGAACAAGCCTGACACTTAAAATTTAAACAAATTAAATCAACATGTGCCAGAAGGTTCCACCAAAGCTTACAAAAGATGGTCTGCACACAGTTCAAAGTAAACACATGAATATTTACTTTTTCTGGACCTCATCATATGTAGGCCTACACACCAGTGTTCCTTGAGTTACAGGTTCTGATTTTACTCACTGTGAAATGTTGTTCAACTGTGATCAACCAAAGAATGTAAAATACAGTAAAAAGCCAGGAGTCTACTCCCAAGTGTGCAGCCACCCAATGACAGATTTTTTTTCCCACATTTATTATTTATGAGGGAGAAAACTTACTTCAGAACCAGGATCTTTCAACTGTAAGAAATGAAGCAACTGTTTTCTACCTTCTGTTTAAATGCTGAAGACACTCACTGCTTCAGTAAGTACAGTTTACTACCAAGGGTCTCTTCACTGAAGACATCATTAAGTGCAGTTTGCAGGACAAATATTTGTAACACAGAAAAATTCCACAAATTCTACTCTGCATTCCATGGTAACTGGAACAGGAGGGTGTCCTGTTTAAGGTGTATGCACACTCATATGTACCTCCTCTTGTAGAAGGAGAGGATTTTCAAACTGCAGAGCTAAATGAACCTCTTGTGAGGATGGATAAATGTGCCCCCGTCACACTCGTTGCACTTCATGCACCTGATCTGCTCAGGAAACTTCTACCTAGCTCTGCACTGTGCAGAGCAGAAATATCCACTGCATGGGGACATTTTAAACACAAGCAATGGCTTCACAAAGCCTTACACTATCTAATCTTCCACTGGTTTCCTGTTGGCAAGTGATGAAAAGTTTTCAAAGCATATAAAGGAATACTCAGATTCTGAAAATCATCATACCTGATACAGCAAGAAAATCATCAATACTTGTTATATCATCCACAGCTTCAGTAAGAACATGGATGTGATTCTCCCATGTACTCCTATACATCTCCATGTTGTTTTTCACAACTTGACTCTTGGGTCTGGCAGCAAGAGCTAAAGCAGCATTAATAACCTGCACCAAAAATAAAAACAAAACCCAACTAAGTAATTTTGTCTTCAGAAATCAAATGTTATGTTTTACTCAGCATTGCAGAAAGGCATTCCTGTTCTCCACGCAACAGTTTTGCTCAGATTTTGTTTCTGTCCTCAAGCAGAAATATCAGTCAGGTGTTGCTTAGGTCAACTTCCATTATAGTTTCACAAAGCTCTCTGGAACAGGACAGCAAAAATCCCAACAATTTTTTTTTTGGTTAGAGAATTCATACTGTTCCAAGTTTGCAGGATATTATTACAAGGAGGTTTTTACTTACACACACTTCAGGCACACACTTAACAGTAAAGCAAACATCACCACTCTTTAACATCAAGAGTTTATTATGGAGTACCTTCACTGAGAGGTATTATAAGCTTCTGTCATGTAAAAGTGGGAGGTTCTGCCAGGCCAACAGGTATCTTTAGGATTAGAGACATGGGATGTAACACATACTGCATCCATACAAAACCAGCAGACTGATATTGCTAAATCAGTTTGGCCTAAAAACAGGAATTATATTCACAAGAAGAGTGTAAAGTTCATCTCTCCCAGGAAAGACAAACTGAAGATATAAATACAGGATCCTTAAGTGATTACTTCTACAGATACTTTTTCAGTCAGTTAATTAGCTACAGAGGCTTTTTCCTAGTATGTTTTTTTGTTATGTTACATCTATAAGCATTTTTTAATTCAACTAGCACATATCCCAGGTAGAAGCTGAACATTAACCTTACACTAACCTTTTTTTCCCTCCTCCCAGTATTGCTTATTTATCAAGGGGAGAATGATTTTAAGACTACAAAACACAATGTAAAGCAAAATATGGGAAGAATAAAACGAACATGCCCCACCAACACTCCGTGCTGACAGTACACATTCATGAAACGTTCCTGTATATTGGGCCACTATAACCAAGTCTTTGCAGCAAAATATAAGAACTAGAAAAATCCTCTTCTAAGGCCATCTGATGTGTCTTTATAGTAATTGTAATCCTCTTGACCTTGTTCTGAATAATAAGTTCAATATATAATCAGTTTTGGTTGGTTGCTATTTTTACAAATAATGTAAACTTATAGAGCTGGTGAAATTTAAACAACAACAAAATTACTAATATTTGTGCTCCCATAATGAAAGAACATACACAACTAGGGGTGGGTTGGTTTTTTTTTTTTTTTTGGTTTTTTTTTTTACTTTTTTTTACTGCTAGGATTGAGTCTTTTTACTAATGATTTTGATAAGGAAGAATAGATCATGTCCTTATTATCTTACCAGGCATAGAGAAGGCAGAGGGAAGGCAAAGAGCATGTAACTACAATAAAGAAAAGGATAAGATACTTTCTCAGTTTAATGAGACACAAGTGGGGAGGGGGAAGGGAAAATTCCTGCTTACTTTCCCAGAACAAGCAAAACCACATTATCCACCCCTAATTTTTCCTTTCCCATGCCTCCACACTCTATCAAATTAAACTTTTTGAACTCCGTGCATTATTCTAAACTATATAGACATTCACATATATGTAGGTACAAATACAGATACAGAGTTATGGTCTGTTCGCCTGAAGATAATATCCCCTTGAGGTCTGCACCGGGTTTCTCCATCTTCCTGTATCACCCACCCTGTGCAACCAGGTCCTTGGGCAAAAACAATCCCACAAATGGATTTACCTTTGCTCAAGGAAGGGTTAACCCAAACTGTTTTACCTAACATACCCCTCATGTGAATCACTGGGACTTTGTCTCCATCTGCAGTGTGAAGGGACTCTGATTGGGCAGGGTCAGCTTGATTGACACCTTGACTTGTGCAGCTCAGTCTGCCTGTTCATTGTTGCAATGCTCTTCATTCGTTCGATTTTTGGGCACATGGGCATCTACGTGACGGACTCTTACAATCAGCTTCTCTACCTGGGTAGCAATGTCTTGCCATATATCAGCAGCCCAGACGGGTTTTGCCCTACATTTTCAATTGGTCTTCTTCCATCTAAACAACCACCCCCACAGCGCATTGGCCACCATCCATGAGTCCGTGTAGAGGTAAAGTTTTGTCCACTTCTATCATTTAGTAATGTCCAATGCTAACTGGACAGCTTTGAACTCTGCAAATTGGCTCGATTCACCTTCTCCTTCCGTAGCTTCTGCAACTTGTCATGTGGGACTCCACACAGCTGCTTTCCATTTACGTTTCATCCCTACCATGCGGCAGGAACCATCAGTAAAGAGTGTGTAGGGTATTTCTTCTTCTGATGGTTGGTTGTATGCTGGGGCTTCCTCCGCCCATACCACTTACTCCCCTTCTTCACTTCTGCTAGACTAAAGTTCTCACCTTCTGGTCAGTTTGTGATGATTTCTAGGATCTCAGGGCAACTTGGATTTCCAATGTGGGCGCGCTGCGTGATCAGGGCAATCCACTTGCTCCACGTAGCATCAGTGGTATGATGTGTGGAGAGCATCTTCCCCTTGAACATCCAACTCATCACCACTGGTGCAGGTGCCAGGAGGAGCTGTTCTTCTGTGCCAATCACCTCTGAGGCAGCTTGTACTCCTTCATAAACTGCTAGGATCTCCTTTTCTGTTGGAGCGTAATTGGTTTCCAATCCTCTGTAGCTTTGGCTCCAGAATCCAAGTGGGAAGCCTCGGGTCTCACCAGGCACCTTCTGCTAAAGGCTCCAGGAAAGGCCCCTTATCCCCAGAGGCAGCGTAGAGTACATTCTTCACTTCTGGTCCTGACTGGCCCTACAGCATGGGCAATCTCCTGCTTAATCTGCTCGAATGCTTGCTGCTCTTCAGGGACCCACTGGAAATCATTGTTCTTGCGGGTTACCAGATAGAGAGGGTTTACAATTTGGCTGTACTCAGGGATGTGCATCCTCCAAAAGCTTATGGCACCCAGAAAAGCTTGTGTTTCCTTCTTGCTGGTCGGTGGGGCCATTGCTGTGATCTTATTGATGACTTCAGTCAGAATCTGACGACGTCCATCTTGCCACTTTACCCCCAGGAACTGGAACTCTTGGGCAGGTCCCTGGACTTTACTCTTTTTGATGGCAAACCCAGCTCCCAGGAGAATCTGGATGATCTTCTTTCCTTTCTTGGAAACCTCTTCTGCTGTGTCCCCACATACGATGATGTCATCAATGTACTACAGGTGTTCTGGGGCTTCCCCTTTCTCTAGCGTAGCCTGGATCAATCCGTGGAGATGGTGGGACTGTGTTTCCACCCCTGGGGCAATCCATTCCAGGTGTACTGCACACCCCTCCACGTTATAGCAAACTGTGGCCTGCACTCTGCTGCCAAGGGAATGGAGAAGAACGCATTCGCGATGTCAATAGTGGCGTACTACCACCTCGCTGCCTTAGACTCCAGCTCGGTGGAGCTCCAACATGTCTGGAACAGTGGCACTCAGTGGCAGGGTGGCTTCATTCAGGTCACAGTAGTCCACAATCAATCTCCATTCTCCATCAGACTTATGCACAGGCCAGATAGGGCTGTGGAAGGGTGAGTGGATCTTGCTGATCACTCCTTGGACCTCCAGCTCACAGATCATCTTATGGATGGGGATCACAGAGTCTCGGTTTGTTCAGTACTGCCAACTACGCACTACTGTAGTGACAACTGGCACTCGCTGTTCCTCAGCCTTCAACAGTCCCACAGCAGAAGGGTTCTCTGAGAGGCCAGGCAGTGAATTTAACTGCTTAGCTGCCTCTGTCTCCACAGCAGCTATTCCAAAAACCCATCTATGTCCCTTGGGGTCTTTGAAATACCCATTCCTAAGGTAGTCAATGCCCAGGATACATGGGGCATCTGGACCAGTCACAATAGGGTGTTTCTTCCACTCCTTCCTGGTCAAGCTCACTTCAGCTTCCAACACAGTCAACTGTTGAGACCCTCCTGTCACCCCAGAAATGGAAATAGTTTCTGGTTCCACATGTCCTGAGGGCATTAACGTGCATTGAGAGCCTTGTATTCTTGTGGGTCTGATGTGCCAGACCATCGGATCCACACAGTCCAATAGACATGGTTGTCCCACACTCTACCTGGCTAGAGGCAGGGTCCCTCTAATACTGGTCTTTGTCCTGCTCATCACAGTTTTCCTCCTGTGAATACTGGTGGGAGGAACCTTCTAGCGGGTCAGATCCCTGCCCAAGGGATACCAGTACTGCACTCACTTTCACGGACTTTCTTTTTTCTCTCTCTTTCAACTCTTGTACTCGGCCTGCCAGGGCACAGGTAGGTTATCTGTCCCACCATCTCATGTCCTCTCCATGGTCAGATAGGAAATACCACAATTCAGTTCATGAGGTCTGTCCGCTCTCTCTAGCTGGGAGGCATCTGGTTCTCACTGGTGCCATAAGGAAACTGTTTCCCTCAATCCTCTCTCTCAGTTTCTCCTGTTTATCTTTCATCTCTATAGTTATCGTCTTGAGGTCATTAATCAATGTCTCTACCATGGAAACGCAGGCCTGTAGTGGTCCTTGGATCATACAGTCATACAACCGAAGTTTATTTGTTATAGACATCACTGGCTCTCGCTTCTCCCCAGCCTGCAGTGATGTCAGGTAACTGGTGTGTGCAGATGGTCCCATACATGTGAAGCTCCACCACATCTGTGGTGTACATTTAACCTTGTCAGGATCATTAGTGGGTTGCCCATCCCGTCCAAACAGTACCTCCAACAGTGCCATTTCCCTCAGGCGTAGATTGCCCTCCTCCATGGTCTTCCATCCCTTTGCATAATGGTCTGCCTGCAAGGAATCTCTGTAAATGAACCTCTCCCTCACACTGTCCAACAGCTGTGCCCAGAGAGACAGGGGTTTTGATTCTCTCACAAACGCCTCCTTGATACCCACATCCTGGGCAACAGACCTCAAGAACCTTGCTTCACCACCATCAAGGTTTATGGCATCACCCATGAAGTCCCAAACTCTGATCATCCATGCCAGAATGGGTTCATTTGGGCTACAAATAACATCCACCCGTAACCTCTA